TTGAGGCATGGAATAGAGAGGAAAGGACGGTAGCTGAACTGGGGAGCAGGAAGCGGTTTGAAAAGGCGGGAAGGGGTATCGTTAGGATAGACAGACTAGGGAAGACATTTTTGAGCCACCTTTGGCAAAGTGGAAAGGAACGATTGGCCATCGGTGATTGGTCCTGTGGGAACAATGCTCCGTCCTCTCGAGGACGCGTGGTCAATGGTCTAACCGCTAAGGCATGCAAAACATAAGAGTACGCCCCCCCACCCCCCCCCGTCCGCCCCCCAAGATGATTATTCTTGCGCCTCTTCCCGCCCTCGACTCCCTTGAACTCAAACGGGAACCTAACTCATGCGTTCGTCCACGTTTTATTCCCCGTTAACCCCAACTACGTCGGCTTCCTCGCCAAGGGTCGCCCGCCTGGAGCCGCGTATCCACGTCGTAGGAACCCAGCTATATAATTGAAGTACTCCTTACCCTTGTTCCAGTTGAGCACAGACGGGTCCCCTGTTCCCTGATCGTCATTGCCCTTGCTTGCCGCTGCTCATGGGTAACTATCCTCTGGGCGGAAACTCTCAGCATCGCCCACGTCAACCCAACCTTCGTGTTCGATGAGCTCGTCGTGACGCACTACTGCGGCAGCGCTGGCGGCCTGACCGGGCTGGTCGTAACGGCCCTCACCCAGCAGGCGGTGGCGCAGGGGTACAAGGTGGTCGGGTCCATGGAGCTGCTGGGCGACCCGCTATCGCTCGTCGGCAAGGTGTGGTGGGCGAGCTGTTGTCGTCGGTAACGTCGGTGTTGAATGTTGTTGACACATAGAAGTACAAGCGTTGTTGCTGCTTCTCTTACTCTCGCTACATGTTGCCTTGCTGGTGCTGTCGACTCTGTCGTTTTTCGGTCGGTCAGTCCGTGCCGCTGTCGAATGCTCTTCGCCGGAGATTTTCGTGCGCCCTGTTGCTGCGGGTGGTGGTGCCGGCTTATTTGATGCCACTGGTACAGTTTGATGCCACTGGTGTACAGTGACAAGCATATCCCTTTGTTGTTTGATCGTAGTTTTCGGGAGCGAAGCTTCAGTAGGCACACGTGCGTGCAGTGATTTGTCCCCTGCCATTAGTCGGCGAAGGTGTGGGTGATAGTATTTCGGCTCCGTCGCAGGGTCACGAAGGTCACGGTTGTGATGGAAAGTGAACTAAACATTTCCGTGACTACGGCTGTGGATGTCTCGCTTCCCCTAACTCTCCCCCCATCTCTGTCTCCCTCGCCGGGTTGTATTTTCAATGTGAAGCTTGGAGACAGCGTGGTCCAGTTCTTCACCAAGACCAAGGCGGAGATGACCGGCGATGCCGATACCGTAGGCGCGGGCGCGAAGCTTCTGGTGAAGGGGCTTGTAGGCGGCACGTTTGGCAGCGCCGCGAAGATCACGGGTGGGTCGGCCGGCCTTCAAGAACTGTTTCAATCGCGTTTGTTTTCGGTGACAGGAAATAGTTATCCAGAGTCTCTACTTTGTTAGGAGCGTTGGCGGGGCAATGCCTCGATGAAAAATTATCGCGTGTTCATGGTCGTGTGGATTCGTTTCTTGTTGTGACCGCGATCTCCGCCTTGTCGATGGCAAACGATAATTCTCGAAAGAACAGGACGGAGAACGCACGTAAATGTACAAATGGGCATATACGCGTTTGGTTAAATTTAGCTCCGTACCCTCTTTACGCCGCACATCTCCGGTGTATACTTACATCTTCTTGAGAGTTAAGCAGAGGAGAGAAGCCGGACAAGAGTCGGCTCAAGGAGCACTCCGTATGCAAGGGCTCGTGTACCCGATGCGGATTGTGCGTCTCACTTCCTCTCCCCCTTTCTCTTCACACATGAAACCACGTCCCGATCACATCTGCGTTGTCGCCTGGTGGTGCTTAGAAACCACGCGTAGCAGCTATTCCCGCCCTGCATCGCAAGTTGTTGGACACGCGAAGCCGATTCGCACGTGGTTTGTACTTCGACCCGGTACCTAATCGGTGAAAGCCCGGCGTATTCGGCTTTCGAGGGGCGAAATACAAAGTGTTGGGCACGCCCTTCCCTAGAGTCGATCTAACGTTCAACCTCTGTGTTTTGTTGGATACGCTCTCCGTGATGTCTTGATGGGTTTCAGGTTCATTGGAAGGCATGATCCGTGGTCTCAGCGGCACCGCCATCGCTGAAAACGAGTCGGAGATGGAGCGCGAGGACGATGGCCAGCTGCAGCGGGAGGTGAAGGACTTGGAGCAAGGAGTGAAGCAAGGCGGAAAGGTATCGGTTTAAATCAAGTCTTGTCGGCCAGTTGGCGAGCTGGTCCGTCTACTGCAGCAGTACAAGATGGCACACACTGCGTTCGTTAGAAAATACCAACTTGTACGCGCGGTCTCTCCTGTAAACTGTGTGCTTCTCCGGAACAAGACCATTACCACTCAGTTGATCGGCTCAATTATGGTTCTTACCGTGACACAAGGCACCTGTTACTCGTAGGTTTGTGGAAGGAATCGTCTAGAAAGGAACGCGGACCTTCTTCTGCTGAAGGTTTTGACAAATACTACCCCATCTGAGAGGAACGCCCTCGAAAGGGATGCAATCTTGGTGCAGTTCAAGGCGCATCCGCTACATGTCGGCTAAAGTTTTCAATGGCCTTGTTTGGAGTGAACGATAAATCGAAGTAGACGAAGGATATAAACACGAACAATCGTTGGTCTTGTGGGAGAGCTGCGGGAGGGTTAAGGGAATGTTGCTGGGTATTCCGTCGGCGCCACGGGCCTAGAGGCCGGCGACACTTGTCTTGCTGCACACGGTAATTTTGCGCCGAGTAGTGGCCCCGTGTCTCAACCATTGGATATTATTTTTTCTTTCCCGACCCCCGCCGGAAAGCACGCGCCGTCCGAACCCTGCGTGGCAAAATCTCTTCTCCAAGAACCCCCTCCCCCATGTATCAGATACCCTTTGGTGCCGGCGTGCAGTAACGGTCCTTGCCCTATCCCCTCCCCTCTGATCCCTACCCGGTGATGGAAAGATTTTCTACGAGACCATGAAGGCGGGAATCACCGGCTTAATAGACCGGCCGGCCGAGGGCGCAAAAGAAGAGGGCTTGGCCGGCTTCATCGCCGGCATGGCCAAGGGAATCGTGGGCGCGGTAGCCGCGCCGGTGGCCGGGGCGCTAGGGGCAGTCTCCCGAGTCACCGAGGGCGTCGACGCGTCCACGAGGTACAGAGGACCCGGGGTGTTGCGGGGGTGCTTCATAGTGTTACCTTTCGCTTTACCGGATATCCTTGGGAAAAAGACCGTGTTGCGATTTAATGCTGGTGTTTAGGGGCGTTGGTTCGTTACTGCCTCTACCGCTTCGCCAGCGCCGATTCTCGACCTCTCTTGCTCGAGGTTAGAGGACATATAACCTCCTATCGACACCCAGCGCCCTGGCCTGACTATGCATGGCCTACTCCCTCTCCCATCCACTCTCATGCTTGACGCATGCTGCATCCAATCAGGCTTTCCGACGAGAAGCGAATGGGAAGGCGCCGAGCCGCGAGAACGGCGTTCAGATCGGTGCCAACGGGCAGGGCGCTCCCCCCGCTAACTCCCATCGACCTGGTCAAGAACATTCCCAGAAAGTTCGCCACGTTGTGGGTGGGCACTGGCCTGGAAGCGACGGGGGTGGCGTTGCCAGTTCCGGAAGGGGAAGGGGCGGAGGAGAGAGATCGGAAACCCGCTGTTGATGTTGGTAGCGGTAGAGGGAGTGAAGGCGGGGCGGGAGGTCGGACTCATCCCTCATGACGAAGACTTTGCTCTATTTTGCGGGTTGAAAAGCCAGCAATCATACCTGGTCCGATAAGTTGATTGGAAAGCTAGCCAGAACGCAGGAAAGGACACTAAAAGGGGCAGATGATATAGGGTGGGGACCACCTGCGACGCTTACCCTCGGTACAGAGGGGAAATAGTAGGATTCCCGTCACGCAGTGAGGTTGTTGGCGGTCAGTGAAAGCTGGCGCGTGGCAGAGTGGAGCGTGGCGCGAGATTTGTATCGTACGGCCTGGTACAGTCAGTAGGTCTGAAGATAAAGACCGTTTCAATGTTTGGTGAGAGGTATGTCGAGTTTGGAGGAGGGGCGTGACAGTGCGCAACTGTGGAATGTTTGTGGGTGGGTGTGAAATGTCGAGGCATGGGTGACGGGGTAGAGTTTTTTACGAACCATGAGCGTTCGATGTTAGTTTTGTAGCGAACGCTCATAACTCCCGGTTGGTGTTCTTGAGTCGATATGATACGTCTTTCGCTGGAACCGCTATCCGACCTGGCGTACGAGGTGTTGCAGGTGGCTCATTCTCAGCCTTTGGATCGCGTTTCGTTTAATTCATGGTATGGTTTGGATTGTGCTTGGCACCCCCTTCTGCTTCAGGCGTGAGACCCCACGTGCCATGCATGACCTCCGAGGGCACCATCTTTCCGTCCAGCCCACCTGAGCTCCCGAATCGTATCCCGCCTCCCGGCGACGGTGTCGCGGGCAGCATCTGGATGTCTTCGAGGCGCGGCGGTGCCGGGATAGTGCACAGTGCGGAAATTTACCAACGCGTTGTCTTCCTCGGCGGGGTCCTTGATGTACTACGTACTTCTGGATTCGGTGAGGCCTCCAAACGCGGGCGGAGGCCCTCGTCTGCTGTGGATACTCCCCCGCCGGTGCTGAGCGCTCGCTCGCAGCACCGGGGGGCATGGCATCCCGCATGTGATCGCAACAACACCGAGTGTTGAGGGTGGGGTGTGTGGGGTGGTCTCAAGATTATCCATTCTCCCCGAGGTTTTCTTTCGAGGCTTCGGGGGACGAACGAGGCAAGTTATCACTTGTCGTACATTCCTTCATGTATACGTTTACCCGATGTACCATGCACCGACAATTGTGTTCCACGGATTGTGTTCAATTTTCGAATCTTTCGATAGGGTGGTAACGGTTTGGTTGTCATTTTTGGCACTGCTTCGTTTGATTGCGCTCCTGTTCTCCACAGCTGTCTCGGAGCCAACATTTGACGTGCGACACGCGTTGTTGTTGAAAGGATGGAGAACACACACTCAACTTTCCTGTCTCAGGCGGGTTTCGGCACCCAATCCCCACTGCTGTTCCTGATCTTATCTCGTCATTGATCTGGCAATGCAACATCCAAGAGGGGACGTGGATTCAAATACTTGAAGCGTACCCTCCGCCCCATTTTTCGGGCGCACAATATCCAGTTTAGGTCGGTCAAGGCTTTTATTACTAGATCGGGAGGTGGAATGTTTTTTTATTGAAAAACGTACCTGCAGTAGGCTCGTGCGTTGCTACAATTGGCCCGTTTACTACACAGCAGTATTATGAGGACACAGTATTGATTGAGGTGTGGGGGGCGCCAACCAATGTGGACTCCGAAAAAAAAATGTCTTGGAAAAAGAAGACTCCTCCACACGGACTCGAACGAATGATTTCGAGGGTCAGGGTGGCCTTCACCGAGTTCACGAAGGCGGGTTCCGCGCTAAAGACGAATTGCTCCTGCGGGCACGATTTTTTTTTCAAAAAATCGACTTCGCAGATCGTTCTGAAACGACGAAATACGATGTCAAAAAAAGTCGGCGCAAAAAACAAAAGTTGCCCTTCGGCTCGAACTTTTTTTTTCTCGCCGACCTCGGCAATCGCTCCCGCTCTGTCGATTTAGGGGGGGTAGAGCCACTCAGAAAGTTGGTCAGGCAAAAAGTGGTGCCTGCACGGGGTCTGGAAGTATGAGGCGTGCCGACGGCCCAGCGATTACCGGCCCGGGCGAATGTGAACGCGTTATGTATGCTGGTGAGCGGCAGTTCAAAGTTGTGCAGAGCTGGAGACTGAAGGAGGGACGCGGCGTTGAGATCACTACCAAGCTCTTCGACCCCAAGGCTGGCAAGCGCGCAGCTGCTAGAAACAGCGGAACCTCGGAGGCTTGTAAAGCAGATTTGTCCAAGGTGGCCCGCGAAAAAGCTGACGAGATCATGAAGGGCAAGCGAGAGGCAGCTCGGAGAGCGGGCGTACCACAAGCCCGCCGGCGCGGTGGTGGGGCAGACAGTCACATGTCTTGCCGCGTCATCAGGGCGGCGGCGAGGCAGCTTTCTCCAAATTTTTCGAGTGGCCGGACTACATCAACTCCAAGAGGATCTGGAAATCGGAGAAGGGCGAGGACATCAAGGACCCTGGCCGCACTCTGTTCCTCTCGACACGGTGTAAGTGCCTGACTACCCTGAAAACAGACCAGAGTGCGCGTGCAAGATCCACACGCAGCAAGACCTGTATCTGAAGGTGCTGTGCGAAGTGGACGTGAAGGGTCGGGCAGCATGCGACTGTCGGTGGTGCAGCGCCCCTGACGGACAAGCGGCGTGGAAGGGGATGTGGGAACACCTGGGGACGTTTTCGGAAGCGCTGGCATGCCCAAAGGTAGACCTACGAGAGGGGAACCCGGAGGATGAGGTTGGCTTCATGGGACGGAAGCCGGCCTGCAGTGCTATGGAGTGCACGCTCTGTGGGTTTGGGAAGGAAGGGGGCATCCCGACCTGCAAGGCGCTGGAAACGTCGCAACAGGTTGTCAAATGGACCCGGTATGAAGACACTGAGAGGCCCGGGAAGAAGCCCCTGCAAAACCAACAAGTCGAGAAGGAGGGCAAGCTCTGCGACGTGTGGGCGGACTTCAAGAAGCACACTACGCTGTACATCGCTCATCATGCGAAGGCCAAGTGGCAGACAAACTCTCGTGGGCTCTGCTTGAGCACGTTTCAAGACGGCGATATCGTGATCGAGACANGGAGGAGGAGAGGGAAAAGACGTGGGGGAATGGGTCTGCCGGTGCGAGACGGAGCGGCAGGGCGCGGAGGCCCAAAGCGCTTTTCACGTTGGTGGAGGGGTATGACGAAGAGGAGAAGGAAAGCGATGTGGAAGGGGAGAAGGAGGGGGAGGGGGACGCAGAGGGGGAGAGGGAGGAAGAGGAGGAAGTAGAGTCGGAGAGGGAGGAAANCGGCCACCTCTCACTTCAAAGGCTGCCACGACGGGATCGGCGGTGTGGCGAAGAACTCCATGAGGATGTCCGAGCAACGTGGTGATCTCATCGCAGGGGCGGCTGGTGTGGTGAAATTCTTGAAAGAGTACTTTGACCACATCGGGGCTGGGAACAAGGAGCTCGCGGACTACTTCGCCACGTGGTCGCCGTATCGCATCCGGCGTGTGCATGTGAAGCTCATCGGGCTGGGCGCTGTCTACAGGCCGGAGCAGCAGCTAGATGGCATCACAGGTACTCGAGACACCTACCTCTTTGTAGGGGCCAACGCGGGGCTTACGGACCGCGCGACCACGACTAGGCGGGGGAGAGACGAAAGCGTTCCGGACGTGATGGAGAAAGATTGGTCACTGGCGATGGGAACGGACGTGGGGGAGGTGGAGGGGACGGAGCTCACAGTGAAAAGGGCAAGGTCGTATGTGCCGTGGAGCCCGGCGTGGGAAAGGGGCGGGGCTACGGGAGAGGAGAGCCAGCATGAAGGTGAGGGGGGGGATGGGGGGGGGGCGGGGACGGGGCAAGGGGGCGACTCCGGCGGCGTCAAGCGGGGGGGCAGGAACAGGAAGAGGGATGGCCGCCGCACGGACCCTTGTGACGAGAAGGGAGAGGAGGAGGAGAGGGAAAAGACGTGGGGGGATGGGTCTGCCGGTGCAAGACCGAGCGGCAGGGCGCGGAGGCCCAAAGCGCTTTTCACGTTGGTGGAGGGGTATGAGGAAGAGGAGAAGGAAAGCGATGTGGAAGGGGAGAAGGAGGGGGAGGGGGACGCAGAGGGGGAGAGGGAGGAAGAGGAGGAAGTAGAGTCGGAGAGGGAGGAAACGGAGCGGGGGTGCGAGGTGGTTCGCGCCGAGAAGGTCATTCTCGCCCACGAGCTTTACACCTCAGCCGCGTCTTGCTTTTGCTCAGCGTGCCGACGGTGCGAGTACAACATGTGCTTTACGAATAGCATGTATCCGGGGCAAGTCCCTGTGCTTAAAGCAGACAAAGTTGAGGAGACGGTCATTAGGGTCACTGGGGTAGATCGAAAGCAATCGTGTTCGGCAAGGAGGATTTCTGTAAAAAGAGGGTGCCTGGTACGCAGTTCGACGATTTTTTCTGCAACAGCACATAGAAGAAGGTTGTCGGGGTACTGAGGGCGTGCTGGGAGGGTTTTGGTTGTTTTTCGGGGGAGGGGGTGTACGCGGTCCAGCCGCGTAGCAGTAACTTTCGGTGGCGTTTCGTCTGGACATCCTGGGCAATAACACAACACGAGTNTGGGCGGGGGAGAGACGAAAGCGTTCCGGACGTGATGGAGAAAGATTGATCACTGGCGATGGGGACGGACGTGGGGGAGGTGGAGGGGACGGAGCTCACAGTGAAAAGGGCAAGGTCGTATGTGCCGTGGAGCCCGGCGTGGGAAAGGGGCGGGGCTACGGGAGAGGAGAGCCAGCATGAAGGTGAGGGGGGGGATGGGGGGGGGGCGGGGACGGGGCAAGGGGGCGACTCCGGCGGCGTCAAGCGGGGGGGCAGGAAGAGGAAGAGGGATGGCCGCCGCACGGACCCTGGTGACGAGAAGGGAGAGGAGGAGGAGAGGGAAAAGACGTGGGGGGATGGGTCTGCCGGTGCAAGACCGAGCGGCAGGGCGCGGAGGCCCAAAGCGCTTTTCACGTTGGTGGAGGGGTATGAGGAAGAGGAGAAGGAAAGCGATGTGGAAGGGGAGAAGGAGGGGGAGGGGGACGCAGAGGGGGAGAGGGAGGAAGAGGAGGAAGTAGAGTCGGAGAGGGAGGAAACGGAGCGGGGGTGCGAGGTGGTTCGCGCCGAGAAGGTCATTCTCGCCCACGAGCTTTACACCTCAGCCGCGTCTTGCTTTTGCTCAGCGTGCCGACGGTGCGAGTACAACATGTGCTTTACGAATAGCATGTATCCGGGGCAAGTCCCTGTGCTTAAAGCAGACAAAGTTGAGGAGACGGTCATTAGGGTCACTGGGGTAGATCGAAAGCAATCGTGTTCGGCAAGGAGGATTTCTGTAAAAAGAGGGTGCCTGGTACGCAGTTCGACGATTTTTTCTGCAACAGCACATAGAAGAAGGTTGTCGGGGTACTGAGGGCGTGCTGGGAGGGTTTTGGTTGTTTTTCGGGGGAGGGGGTGTACGCGGTCCAGCCGCGTAGCAGTAACTTTCGGTGGCGTTTCGTCTGGACATCCTGGGCAATAACACAACACGAGTGTAAAGCTCTATAACTTTTTATCTTGGGCGATCTCGAAAATTAGGACGACGGATTCGTGATCCCCACCCCAAAATCACCCTGACCTGAATTTTTCAGGTCGATCTCAGCACTTTTCAAACCCGGGGATATTTAGCGGCCATCCCCGATTTTTGCGTTTTTGCGAATTCGGCGTGGGAAATCGATAAAACTCGTTGAAACCCGGGCACCTGGGACTTTTTTTTTTTTTCGCCGATCGTCCTTATAAGGGCATGCAATGATACTACTAATTTTTCAATACTTTGAGCGGGGATGGAAAGAAGTTGTCCCCCCGACAAAAAATATTCGTCTTTAGCTCGGAACCCGCCCGAAGTGAATTGGCTTGTTTTACCACGTCGTTGCCAAGCGACGAAAACCAAATCCCGATGGCAAATACCGAGGGGGTGGGGGGGTGGGGGGGCGTACTCTTATGTTTTGCATGCCTTAGCGGTTAG